CAGCCTTTGCTCTAGTAATCCTAGGATGCAAGTTTCCTATTCTATGCTGAGGTGCTTCTTCATTATTGCAATTACCTGGCTGCAAAGGAATTTCACTGATCTGAGGTATGTTTGGTTCTACCTCTGTAAGTTCTGTTCCATCATTCTCTTTAGAATCACCAAGTTCATCACCATGTGATGCAATGTCATTTAAGTCAAGAGGCAAGTAATGTTCTGCTTGAGGAGCTTCAGAGGGATAAGTATCAGCAGGACCTAAGTTATGTGTTGTTCTGTTTTGCTCATATGAGGATTGAAAATGAGAGACTATGGTGTCTGACACGGTTGATTTTGGATGAGTTTTGGTGGAAGTTGAGGACTCAAATGGGAACTCAGATTCATTGAATATAACATGCCTTGAAATGTACAACCTTCTAGTAGGACTTAGGCATTTATAATCCTTATGTGACGCACTATAACCCAGAAATGTGCACTTAGTGGAATGGAAGTTGAATTTATGGTTTTGATATGGTCTTAGGTAAGGGTAACGGGCACACCCAAAAACTTTTAAGGTCCGATAGTCAGGTTTCTTGTTGTATAAAGTTTGGTAGGGTGACTTTTGTTGAAGAGCAGGTGTTGGCAGTCTGTTGATAAGGTAAGTGGCCATTTGAAAGGCTTCCCAACAGTACCTTAGAGGAAGTTTGGCTTGAACTAGAAGTGTTAGACTTGCTTCTGTTACATGCCTATGTTTCCTCTCTACCCTGTCGTTTTGAGGTGAAGTATAAGGAGATGGATGCCTGAACTCTATTCCTTCTTGGTTTAAGTATTTGGTAAAGGTTCTATACTCCCCACCCCAGTCTGCCTGTAAAATTTTTATCTTACGATCCAATTTGTTTTCAACAAGTTTCTTAAATTGGATAAACACATTCAAGGCTTCAGATTTTTGCTTTAAGGGATAGATCCAAGTGAACCTACTAAAGTCATCGAGGAATGATATGTAGTATTTGTTAAATTAATTTTTATATTAAATAGTTCTGCTTCGAATGTTAGTATGAAATGATATCAGTAACACCCAAAAATTTAAGTCAATAAAATTTGGGGCATTACAGTATGATTTTGTAACGACCTGACCTTGTGTCGCAACCGTCATCATATCATATGTATTGTTCGCTTTGGGAGAGTCTAGACTCATCTTACACCTCACGGCTTTTTGACGCGTCCCTCAAGATTCGAATTCAAGACCTCCATCATATGAGAGATTTAAGTTGAATTTTGGTATCAATTGGGCAACTTGCTGTAAGAGCTTCAGATTGTTTGTAATGTTAGGACAAAGAATTTATATGTTAGGTGGAATGGCAAAGTTTGATGGAAGAATCAATTTTGAGCTCGCGATTAGAGGAAGTCAATGGTGTTTTGATTCAAGATTAATCTCTATTTTTAATAGATATAGACAATCAGGACACCTCGAAAAAAATATACAAAAAGGTAGTGTAGATTCGATTAATTGCTAGAAGCTAGTTTATGGAGATATATATTATATCAGTTAATATATGTTTCAGGGACGATGATATTTTTTAGAAAGAATATTTTCCTCGTGGCATGTGTTTATGCGGTCTACGTATGGGCATTGGTTTGATATTGATACAAGATTTGTGGTGCAATTTATGTCTATTGCTGGTGGACTCGAGAGAAAGTCAAACATGGGGTTGCACCTAGGGGTGGCATGGCTCAGCCCTTGGGCACATGAGCTCGGCTCATGTCCATGGAGTAGGTTCGATTCAATTCTTTGGCTCGTGGGCCCCATGGGCAAAGCTAGCCACTTTAAACACATTGAACTCTTTAACATGCATTCTTTAAGTATTGATCTGTAATCACATAAAACTATGTCATTTGCACTAAAAGTAAACTTCAATGCTACAGTAGATACGAGAGACATTAGTAGATCAAGTATAATATAATTAGTTATTGATGCTTACTCCACTACCCAAGTATGTTAAAAAAAAAATTCTTTCTTCCTAATCTAAACATATCGTGAGNCACTACCCAAGTATGTTAAAAAAAAAATTCTTTCTTCCTAATCTAAACATATCGTGAGCAAAATACTTGGCCAATCTAATGGTATTTCATTCGTACTTAGATTCGTAGCATGGGCAAAGGAAAAAGAACTACTATCCTTTTGAGTGTCTTTATAAGAACTAAGGTTGCTTCGTAAACTGTTATCATCACGAGACGACGAACTTGCCCTTTCTACTGGGACGGTTGAACGTTCCTACCTTTTTTTCAGCGTACAATTCTTACATCTCACATAAAGTATTCTCAAGATTACCATGTTAACCGGAGTTAATTTATTCGAAATTGTGGATACAATAATTTTTTACCCTCTAAATCAAACTCATGGTTCAATAAAGTAACAGTAACAACATAGGCCATGTCTCCAATATTTTCTGAACTTAGCCTCCAACGTTAAAATTGTTAACAATTTGATGAAATTTCCCAATTATAATCTTGTAAATCAAATTCTGGATCATATAAGTGTCGACCTTTGTAATAAGCAATAATGAAATTTTCATAACATTCACAAGATTGTAGCATAAGATAAGTTTAGTTCCATCTTTGACGTATATTTGTGAGAAATGTTCTTGCATTTCGTGGATTTTCTACCCATAAACCATTGAATACCTATTTTTTTTATTAGGGAAGACCGTAATAAAGTTTTATGGGTACCTAATTTTCTCTAAATGACCTTCCGTAAATTTTAGCCAACATTTGACAATGAATTTAGAATATGAACGATAAAATGGACATAAAATAGTATATACCATCAAATGGAGTTAAGTTGTCTAATTAATTTTTCAATGACTACTGTGTTTACCGATGCATTGTCAAAAGTAAATCTAGGGATTTTAGTTTCGTTACTTACATAAAATGCATTATCCATTGTTTATCTATGTAGCAGTAGCAGATATGTAACATTTAAGATTATTATTGGAAATGTAGGGATTGCAATGGGGTGGTTCGAGGTCGGGGCATATTCTTGCTATTTTTTAATGAAAATTATTTGTTAGGACATGGCTTATCAATCTAGAATTGTTTCAAAACCTTAATATATGCCTGAGGAATAAAATTCACCAATTATAATCAACTATTTAGTCATAATTAAACAATTTAACACAACTTCGGTAGATTGAATGAACTACACACAACAACTCAAATTGACATTATCTTGTTTTACTGTCTAAGATCAATGGTTTGACCACAAATTTCATATAAATATTCAATATTTTAGTGACCGTAGAAGCATCTGTCAAGAAAGCAAAACATTATAAAAAGGGATAATTAGAAGAAATGGTCCCCAACATTTACACTCTTTGCTAAAATGGTCCGTATTGTTTTAAAATTGGCATGTGTACCCTTATTTCAAACGTTTCTTGCGGAATTGGTCCTTCCATCCAACACCCGTTAAACAACCGTTAGAACCTTTTGAAAATTTGCAGAAATGGTCCCTATGGAATATAATTTGATATTTCGTTTATATATTTTGGAACGGCTTGATTCGACGAGTGGTAACTTTCGCTACGGTTGGCCGTTTCGCACGCCGTTAGGGATGGGAGAAACTACGTCATGAGCACTTCGAAATGGTATTAAAAATGTAATATTTCGACTTCGTTTGACTTCCCGTAATAATCCCGCAAAATGGAGACAAATAAGAAAAATCGTTTATATATTTTGGAACGGCCTGCTTCGACGAGTGGTAACTTTCGCTA